GTAAACCAAAGAAATTTGAGAAATACAGAACTTATTAGAGTAAGAACGTTTACAGCTGAATATGCACATAGTCAACCATTTAACGTGGCGTGTAGGAATTTTAATTTAATAAGAGAAACATTTTTGGAATCAGCATCGCGAAGCATTTTTAGAATTAGTATTGTTAAATTGGACAATTTGTTATTTAATATTCGGTGAAATAGACTAAGAAAAATTGTGTTATGAATATATATGGACACAGTCGATATCTGCTGCTCCAAAGTCGAAAAGACTGGCGGCTGGTATTCGATCGGGTAGTGTTTCATTGCAAATGATATTGTAAATGATTGTGATAAAATCAGTCTGTGATCAGACGGTGAAATAAATAAATAAATAAATAAATAAATAACTAAACCACAAGAAAAATCACTTTAAATTAATACATTTGTGTACGTGATAATAAATCTTGGACAGATCTATTAAAAACAAAAGAAAAATCTCCAAACATTTTACCGAAGAATTTTTTGGCAGAGTCAATCCACGGAAAGGTAATATAATACTTGAGCTATTTGTGAGTGAATCGACCCAAACATATAAATTCGACGGCATCAGTAGAGACAAAGCTTCCTGTATATGGATGTACACATGTATATGGTTACTCTATGTTTTCCACGTTTTTGAATGATTCGCAAAAAAAATGTGATAATTAAAACATACCGCGCTTGCCACACCGAATAACATTTCTGTATCAATGTGAGTTGTTTGAGAAATAGCTCGTGGTCTTTCGATTAAAAATGGGTCAACGGCCAAGGTCTTATCTAAAAGTTTCAAAAGCTATAAAATAGGCAAGATAAAAGCAATTTTCGAATAAAATTCAAACAAACTTTCAATAACCGCTCCCCAGTAAAGTTCGAACAAATTTGTGAAAAGTGTAAAAGCGGGCGTTTTCTGCATAAGTACATCAAGAGAAGCAGTTTTCATGAAATCGTAAAGTATTTTCGGATCTCTTGCACCATTCAGTTCATCTTTAAATGCATCATACATAAGTTCCAACTGATTATTTGGATCATAATGTGCAGAGTACGTGACGGCAGTACCGCTCATGAGAATCGCTCGAGCGAATAGTTTTCGCGAATATTCGTTCAAGACGTGAAAGTGTGATGATCCTCCACCTAAAATCAATGTAATTTCAATTTGCAATATTTTCATATAGTTTGAAGGTAATCGGAAAAGTTCAAAAAGACCTGCACTATGTCCAAAAATTGTTATGGCATCTGGATCACCACCAAAATATCTAATATTATCGCTAACCCATTTCAAGGCTAATTGTTGATCTTTGAAACCCATATTTCCAGTCAGGCCTGGTAACTCGAAGTTCATAAATCCTAACGGACCTAAACGATAATCGATTGTAACCAAAATCACACCTTCATCTTCCATGAATGTATCAGGTCCATAGAATCCACTGTGACCATCGCCTTCAATGAATGATCCACCATGTATGAAAAACATTACCGGCAGCAATCTAGGGGCTTAATTCGAATCCCAAATAGAAGGATTTTTGTGAATTCCATGAATTTAATGAGTCTGAGAATTTTTGGAATAAATGTGAATCTCGGTGAATTTCAGTGAATTGTTATGAATTTTACATGAAAATTCAAGATGGCGGCTTGTTAGCACGCCTGAACTGTCAAAATTATGCATAATGAATTCGTGTGAATTTTGTGAATTTTTTCACTGAATTAAGCCCCTAGGCAGCAATTTACTCAGCTTTCGTTTCAGAATATTGAACGCTAATTTTTCAGTTAAAATTGATATATGTATTCTTTTGAAATAAATGTTATTTTATAAAAATTTCTCGAGTGAAAAACATTTTGTGTGAACATTTTATTTGAAAACTATTTTACGTACCCGGTACGAAGACGTTTAAAAATAGGCAGTTTTCAGATTGTGTTGAATTCAATGGAAATTGCATTGATTGAACAAGAACTGGGCAAGCATCTTTGTATTTGTCAGAAGTTACACGGATTTCATTCCACGGTTTCACTGGAACTGGAACCTGTTTATAACACACAATAAGCCATTCGAATAATTGTGTCGAAAACATTAACACTCAGGTAGGATGATACCTTATATCTTAGATCGCCGACTGGTGGTTCGGCATAGGGAATCCCTTTGAAAGATGTATAAAGCTTATTGCTTTTGTAGGTTTTTTGCCAAATACCGCTCACTAAACCACTTTTCGTCTTGATTATTATTGAACAATTACAATTAATCAGAACAATTAGAAGAAAGCAAAGAAACAAATGATGAAGTTTTGGTTGTAACATTTTGAATCCAAAATGTGAAAAAAAAAAAAAATATCAGTCAAGATATCAGTTCCAAAATAATCTTCTACTAATTTTGATAATTTCAGACACCATATATATATATACAAGATTTAGGCATAAACAATATTCAAACGTTTATAAAACTCGTAAATTTTATGGCATAGTTGCGCCAAATTGGTACCAAATAATGTATTTTTATTTTTACAGCTTCCAAATTCAGTTTTAGTACGTAGGCAAGAGCGGCTGTTAGAAACAGCGGCAGTATGCCAACCGAACTCAATGTAACATTTCCGAAAATGAAAATACCATACACAGAAACAAATATCCGAGTACGGCTACTCACACTTGCGGTGTTAGCAGAGAGTCTACCCTTCAAAATGACTTACGCACTCTATTTTACTCTATTTTTTGTGTTTATTTCATCCAAGTGAACGCATCGTAGTGAAAGAAGAGATACATGTGTACTACCTAGAAAAATCCGGAGGCTCGAAATTCATTTTAGACATATGGTTCCTTGGGCAAAAATGCTTGTTAGGACCCATAGAACCAGAATCGCGATGTGCATTTGATGCAAAAAAAATTGACCCACCCAAATGTGTAGTCATATGTCATACGTTGAACGCATGAGGCTATGACTACAGATGTATTTCTTCTTTCATTAACTAAGATGTGTTCACTTGGATTAAATTAACACTTTTGAACACTTTTGGACATTTTGAAGGGCAGACTTTCTGATAACACCGCAAATGCGAGTAACCGTACTCGGATATTTGTTTCTGAGTAAATGAGATAATGAGGAAGTTTGACTTGCACAAATTCTCCATTGTTATATTGTTTAG